CAGGGTGACGGTGAGTGAGGGTGTGTGTAAGGGAGAGACTGTGTGTGTGAGGGAGACAGTGAGTGAGTGTGAGGGAGGTTGACTGAGTGTAAGAGACAGGGTGACGGTGAGTGAGGGTGTGTGTAAGGGAGAGACTGTGTGTGTGAGGGAGACAGTGAGTGAGTGTTGAAGTCTCCATCCCTCACGGTGCCCCAGCCTGTTTGAATCCTGGCACTGGGTGAGTGTCTGTTGTACTGAACAGTGAGCTCAGGCACCGGCAGTTAGAGGCGGCTGCTCCTTATGGAAATCTGTGGCCATGCTGGAGGTTTGGTATGGAAAGCAGCATCTCTCTGAATGCCTGGCCGCTCCCAGGGTCCGGCCTCTCGCCTGGGAGAGTGTGTGCAGAACGAGCTCCTCACCAGCGGGGCCCAGGCAGCGCTGCCAACCGTTTTTTACCCCAAAGAACGAAACAGTCGCCGGCTGTTGCAGGGAGCGGGTAGCTAAGGAATTGGTCTTTCTGAGTTGCTGCAGCTTTTTCCAGTGCTCTCCGAAATCCCCAATCCCTTCAAAGTTTGTCACCACGCGCGAAAAGGCGTAAAACTAGCACATCGTTTCCAGACGAGATTAGTGAGGGAGGGGTGACTGGGGAAGTGTAGAGTTTGGGGGAGGGCTGTGTTGTACAGGAATACAAGGAGAACAATGCCAATCCCTCCCCAAGACCCTAACTCTGTTCACCCGCAAACCGCAAAAGGAAAACCGGCCTCACACCTACTCTCTCTGCGTGTTTATATATCTATGTCTCTGTGTGTCTATATATGTTTCTCTGTGTGCGTCTATATATCTGTGTCTGTGTGTCTCTATGTGTCTATATATCTGTGTATCTGTGTGTCTATACATCTGTGTCTGTGGGTCTCTGTGTCTACATATCTGTGTCTGTGTGTGTCTATATATCTGTGTCTGTGTGTGTGTGTGTCTGTGTGTGTCTATATATCTGTGTCTCTGTGTGTGTCTGTATGTCTGTGTCTATGTCTGTGTCTATGTCTGTGTCTATGTCTGTGTCTATATATCTGTGTGTGTCCCTGTGTGTGTCTATATGTCTGTGTGTGTCTATATATATCTGTGTCTCTGTGTGTGCCTCTATGTCTGTTTGTGTCTGTGTGTGTGTCTGTGTGCGTGTGTCTGCCTACGTGTCTCAATGTGTTTATGTCTATGTGTGTCTGTCTGTGTGTGTGTGTGTGTGTGTGTGTGTCTGTGTCTGTGTGTGCAGCGAGTAAGTGAGAGAGAGAGAGAGAGAGAGAGTGAAAACGGGAGAGTGTTTGGGGGAGTAGAGGGACTTGGAAGGGAGAGCGGGTGACCGAGAGAGACTTGGAAAGAGTGAGAGCGAGAGAGACTTTGGGAGAGGGAGAGAGACGGGCTTGGAAAGAGAGAAGGAAACAGCGAGGTTGGGTAGGTGGGGGGAGGAGGTTGTAGCAAGACAGATTTGGAAGGATTCAGAGAGAGACGCCGGGCAGAGAGAAATGAGCCAGAGAGAGAAAAGCGGAGAGGCTGAGCTGGATAGAGAGAAGGAGAAGTAGGCAGAAGGGATTGAGCAAACGAGAGGGAAAGTAAAAAAAGTGAAAACGCTTATACATCGCTGAGTTTCCCTTTAGCCGGTGTCACGCCGGCTGTGCACTTCACATGTGGCACTGAGCTAACTTCCAGATCGTTTTAATTCCACCGCGAATAACGAAGATTATTTACAAAAGAAAAAACAGCGACAGAGAGAGAGAGATGGCTTACCTTCGCAGTATCAAAGTATAGCAGGGTGACTAGGAAACAGTTCAGCAAACTTAGAAGCGAGTTCATGGTTGCTGGATTAGATATTGTATCCCAACAGAAATCAGGCGAAGGCGAAGAGACGGAGAGAGGAAAAAAAATCACCTCAACTGTCGTCAATTACAAAAAAAAGAAAAAAAAACAAACAGATCTCTCGCCGTCAATCCACTGTTCTCACTGTAACATCCTCCGTTTACGAATAAAGCATGAACTTTCTCTTTTCGCTGTCTCTGTCTCTCTCTCTTGCTTCTCTAGGTCTGTCCGCCTCCCGTTGCCCTCTCTCCCTTTCTGTCCACGGGCGAACAAGCTTCAGATTCTCGCCTGGCCAACTGCAAAAGACCAAGTTTGCTCGGCGTAGACCTTCCTCACACACAGGAGACAGCAAGACAGACAGAGGCAGAATGGATCCGTGTCAAACAGCTGCTTTCTTGCTTGCGAAGGTGGTATTGGAATTGAGAGGGAGGAGGGGAAGAAGAGAGAGAGAGAGAGTTGCTTGAAACTCCACAACTTGTCTTCAGACGCACAGGAGAGAGAGAAAAAAGACTTAATTCTCTCTTAAATATAATATGTATCTACCACGAGAATTCAAATCCAGGGTCTCGATGCACTTTCGACTTCAAGGCAAATCCAGCGCAAAAAAAATTGGAGAAGGGGAAAAAAAAACTTTTATCCAGACCTACATAGACACACACGAAAAAAAATCTGTATATGTATTTATAGAATGACGAGCAGGAGAGTAAAGGAAGTACTGGCTGGTCGTCAGATAGCAAACGCCTTATGAGAATAAAGCGACTGCTGGTGTTTGTTCAGTTTAACTTCTTTTAACTCACTCTCACTGGCTCTTGCTCTGATGACTTGATTTTGGGGGCGTTGACGAACCGTAATACACTGTATATCTGCCCTTTCGCAAATTCAAGAGAAAACCGGTGAAGAGTGGGCGAGTTCTCTCACTTTCTCTCCCTCTCTCTCTTAGTTTTGCCCTCATCCGAGTTTCTACCGTACCTTGATCATTCCTGACGGGAATACTCTATTCTGAAACCGAGAGAGAGACTGAAATACATACCAACGAGCAGCCCAGGGATGGTCACTCGACCCTTCGAACTGATTCTAGCATTCCATAAATCCATGGCTGATTTCATCTCAACTCTGCATTCCCCCGATAATCTTTCATCCTCTTTAGTAATCGAGACTCGATCTAGCTCTCCCTTAAAATATTTAGAAATTCTCCATCTACGGCCTGTTTGAGGAAGGGGATTCCTAAGACTCTTAACTCTCCCCCGGGTTCTAGATTCTCCTACAAGAAGAGTCATGCTTTCAACAGCCAACTGGCGAATGATCTTCCATGTTTCAATCTGACTATTCTAAACTTCAGAAAATACTATACAGGTCCAAGCCTGTCTGGCCTTTCCTCTTAAAGCAACCTGCTCATTCCAGGTATTAGTTTGGTAAACCTTCTCTGAATTGCTTCCAAATGCATTAACATCCTTCTGTCAGTACAATGACCAGTACTGTATACAAAACTCCACATGCAGCCTCACCAGTGCCCTGTGTAACTGAATCATGATTCCAAAGAAAAGAAAATTACAGCACAGGAACAAAGCCCCTCGGCCCCTACTTTTACATTCAACTCGCCCCCTCAATAAAGTCAAATTGACTGGTCTGGACCTCAAGCAAGAACAGAAGTTGGTGGAAAAGCTCAGCAGGTCTGGCAGCATCTGTGGAGAGCAACCAGAGTTAAAGTTTCGGGTGACCCTTCCTCAGAACTCTTAGCCTGGACCTTTCTTGACACTCTATCAGGAAATAGTAGATTTGCAATTCTTACAGTCTTCCCGAACCACCTTGCATCTGAGGAGGATTGGTGAACTACAGCCAGTGTCTCTAGAATTTATACCCTTACTTCTGTCAGAATCCTTAGGTGGATCCCTTCCAGTCCTGGTTACCTATCAATCATAAATGAGGGGTTCCTGTAGTGGTGAGGGAGTGTGCCTACCAAGCTTGTTCATTAACCTCAGATGAAGCCAACCTATCTGGCTAATACTACATGTCTAACAATTTCTAACCCACCCAGTCTCTCAACTGGCTCCTCTTTCACTGTGAAGTCGGCAGCATTTTCTTCCTTTGGGGATCAACTCAGTGCAAACTTGTACAGTCCACCAAATGAGCTTTGCTGACCATCTCTGGAACTGAATCCAGCATGCAGGACTTACCAGTGAAATGTTGTAAGGCAAAGTTGGTTTGACTGTTCATTCCTGACAGGAATTTACACGGAATTCATACATCCATGGGCCCAAGGGCGAGCGTTTTCACAGCCTGTCTTGACTTTATTCAAGTTGCTGTTTTGTTCTCAGACATGGATAATAACTCAGATCCTTTAATTACTGAAGAAAACATTTAGAAGCAGAGTGAAAGCTATTTCCATGCGTTAGCAAGGAGAGTTAGTATTTAAATTACAGCAGGAAGGCTAGAAATTTGAGGAATACGTTGGGTTCAGGACTTGGGGTTGGGGAGGTCTGAGTGTCACGTAGCGCAGTGAAGGTGATGCACTTTGCATTGATGCTATACTTTTGTAGATGAAGTAAGATAGACTTAGAAGGGCCTTTTCTGTACTGTATGGTTCGAATGTAGAGGGAGAAGGTGGTCATTACACTTACAGCTCATACACTAAATGGAAGTTTCTCACATGAATCTCTGATGCTTGAGACTATCTCGCAGGCTGAACAATGCCCCAGCCCTGTGAACACCAACAACTGTTTACACGGGAATGACGTGGGATTGTAAAGCACAGAATCGCTGTCCGATCCCACCAACCTTAGGAGCACATCCTCCAATTCTTTTCTCCTACACCAGTTCATCCAGATTCCACACACAAAACGCATCGATACCGTTCGCTGAACCCTGTGCCAACGAGGCTGGCTAAAGACGCTTCTCCTGAAATCCCGGTTGGATTTATTAAACACTGTCTTGATTATATGGCCCCCAGTCTGAGCGAGTGAAACACCCTTCTCTATGTCTATTCCTTTAAACCCTTTTCTAATCCTGAAGGCCTCGATCAGCCCCTTCCCAGTTTCAGTTCTGGAGATTTAGATCGTCACCCTGTTGAATCTTGGCTGATAAATAGTTAGGGATACCAATGTTTTTTTTCCCTTGCCCTCTCTTCTCTCTCCTCTATGTCTGCAACCATTTCTTTGCCCATCTCTCCCTGACAATGTAACCATTACATCTCCCTGTCAGGCGATTTTGTTTCTATTGATCCAGTCACCTGCCTCTCGACCTTTCTTTCTGTGCCTGCTCTCCCCCTCCCTCTACCTCATCTCTCTTTGTAATTCTGCTCTCTATATTTGTACCAGTCTGTTGGTCTCTCTCTCTCTACATATAACATATATATAAAATTATATACACACGCAATATATATAAAATTACATGCACACACTATGTATACAATTATAAACACACACTATATAATAAAATATATACACACACATTTTATATATAAGAAATCCGGTCCTCCTATCTGTTTCTTTCCTTCTCTATTGTCAAGAATTACCGTTACTGATGGGCAGGTATATTTTAGTCTTTTTCCCGCGTGTAACTAAGGCTCTTACCCTTTCGATATAACGGTCCCGGAAAAAAAAAGGTGGCACAAGAGACCGTAGGAGGGATTGCTTTGGTCTTTGACATCATTGACAGTAATCTCGCCACTCAGACCTCCTGTGTCCTGCCTGGTTAGTGTCGCTGTTCTCCCCCAAATGTGTTTTGCCTCCTGACTTATTCGCCTTCCCCTCTCTGTCTCTGTTTTGTTCCCTGGTCCTTTAACACATCTCGCGGCTGCCTGGTCCTTCCGTATTGCTTTAATTCCCTGCTGTGTTCATTTCTAATTCCGTGCTGTTAAATTAAATCCTCGCAGACAGACTTTGGAAAAGGGCCAGCGGCTTCCAATGTTCACTCCAAAGAGAGCGAAGAAAGAGAGGAAGAGGGACATCAAGAGAGGGAGAGAGAGAGACAGACTGAACTCCAGAAAGGTCAACGATCCTGGACGTGTTAAAACCCCAGGGACCAAGCGCAATCTCAGTTCAAATTACACCAAGAAGGAACTGCTAACCAGCCGGAACAATGAGACCTTCCAAAAATGGACTTTGTTTTAAGAAGCGAAATGTTTAGTGTCACCTGTTGGGAGGGCAGGAAACAGACTGGTCAACTTTAGTGCTGTATCAGTTAATGCTCTTGCGTTTTGTTTGCTGCCCCGATTCCTCGGCCCTTCATCTTGTGTCCGACTCTGCACTGCTCCCCGGTGTCTTGCTACTGTCCCCCTTCCTCACACTCCACACCTGCACCGCTCCCCTGCCTCTCACCCCACACATGTGCCATTGCCCTGTCTCCCACCCCACACCTGTACTACTCCCCTGCCTCTTACCCTACACCTGTACCGTTCCCCTGTCTCTCACCCCACACCTGTACCGCTCCCCTGTCTCTCACTCTACACTTGTACCGCTCCCCTGTCTCTCAC